ATGACGTAGATAAGGGGGTAATGGGTATCTGCCAAAAAAAAAAAAAAAAAAAAATTATCTTTCATAATTTTCTATATATTCTCACCTTAATTTGTGTTAGCCTAAAGATAAAATTTTTTAATACATTGATATATAAATTATCACATTATCCCATCATTCATATGTTAATAAGATTCAATTACTATTTGATATAGGATATAAAAATTGAAATGACCTTCTCAAAAAGAGATGCAAGATGAGTGCATCACCCTCATGTTGAGGCATTAGTCATTGCTACTGAGATAGAAATGTGCGAAGTCCATAGAATGTTGATGGACAATGGGAACGCCGTGAATATCCTATTTCAGAAAGCCTTTAAGGAGACGAAGTTGGAAGATATAGACCTGAAGCTAGTAGCGACTCCTCTCTATGGTTTTACCAGGGACCATCTAAGTCTCCAAGGGCTGACAACTCTTCCAATCACTTTGGGCGATCCCCACAAAGTGACCAAGATGACGGAATTCCTGGTAGTGGACTATCCCTCTACATTCAATAGCATCATTGGATGACCACTATTGCGGAATTTCAAAGCCGTCACTTCTATCTACTATCTGAAGATGAAGTTCCCTACTCTGTCAAGGTGTGGGGAAGTGAGGGGATCACAACGTGAATCTCGTGACTACTACAATCAAGCAGTTTAGATTGCATGCAAGGGGAAAGGAAAGCCCGAGGGCGAGCCAGAGTAGTCAGTGGCGACCAGCAAGATGAAGCCACAACATGGCCTAGTGGAGGATAACATTGATCCTCATATTCAGGAGGGAATTCCTACAGTGGGCTAGTAGAGACATTGTTTGAGGTAATTATCGACGAGCATGAGCCAGCTCTTATATTGATAATTGGGAGTAATTATAGCCCCCAACTCGCAACTAATTTAACGAGTTTCCTTAGACAAAATATCGATGATTTTGCATGGATACATGTTGACATGATCGGGATCAGCCCTGAAGTCATATGCCATGCACTCAACATCGATCGTGAGATTAGGCCAGTTCGCCAAAAAAGAAGAGTCATGGACCTAGAGTGCTATGCGTCCCTCAAAAGTGAGGTGGAGAAGTGATAAATGATAAAATGGTATTTATATTCTGTGATTCTATGGGTAGATTGTTTGAAATTCATGACTATAATAGATTATTTTTATGCAAGTTTCTTTATAAATTTCTATTTTCAAGAATCATGGGTATGTGTATGAGTTTCAGGTTTTTAGGCGATAAACTGGTGACTTTGTACTCACACGATGGTTGGAGGCTTTAGAAAAATCGGATCATCAAGCAAAAGAAAGAATGTGAAATTGGCGGATGGCACCGTAACATAATTTTTCTGTGCCGCGGCATGGTTTTTCTGCACTGCGGTGCGAAAAAGATGATTTGGGGTAGAAAGTTTATGCCGCAGCGTGAAAAGGTTGGCGCTACAGTGTGACAAAGCTTTAGGGTTGCGAAAGAATTCTGCGCCACGGCCCCAGAAAATCACGCTGCGACATGGATCGTGATAAAATTAAAAACCTCACATTTTCCAACTCTGACTTGAACTTGTATTTTTCCAAAAAACACCCTTAGCAACGGAAATGTATAAATAGGACTTTGTAATTTATTTTAGGGATTATTCTTAACCTAAATTGAGAGACACTTTGTGGCAAGAAAGAGAAGAAGATTCTTCCTAGGGTTTTGGATTTTTCATGCTTTTGGGGGAATTGAGGTTTGTTTTCTTGATGTCAATGCGTAACTAAATTCTTATCTAGGGATCCAATGTAGCCTAATTGGAAGGCTCTTTTTTAAACATATGTTATTGCTATCAATTCAACTTGAAATCTTGATTTATTTAGGTTATTAATTTAATCTTTAATTTTCATTATTGTGTGATGACACTTAGTGTGAATTATTAGGTTGTATGTGTTGAGATTAGACATATATTATGTTTTAGTCTTGAAGAACTCATGTGAATGAATGATTAGTACTTTGTGCATACGCCCTGATAGAGTATTAGTAGGTTCATGAATTCTTGAATAATTAATGTTTGTGCATACGCCCTGATAGATGCGCCTTTGGTCTTGATTTTGAGTATTCTCATACGCCCTAGCTAGTCTTGTGTTAAAAGTGCTAGGTTAATCCCGAACGCCTTACGGTAATACCTTGATACAGTGAATGCGAACCCTAGAGACTGAATTTATAAATAATAGAGAGATGTTTGACATACAACTGGATAATTATGGTGAAATATGAGCCCTAGGTTTTGGTTAATTGGGTTTTAGATAATTTTAATAGTTGTTTAATTTTAGTTTTATTTAGTTGTTACTTTTAAATTGATCTTTCGTAATTCTTCATTATTAAGTCTTAATATTAATTTTAATTGAAACATAGTTATTAGGATTAGTAAATTCCTTACAAATCTCTGTGGGATCGACCCTTGCTTTTGCACACTAGACTACGAGAGCGATTCGTGCACTTGTGAGGTTATAAAATTGTTCATCAATAAGCTCCTCTCAATTGGGTTCATTCGATAAGCTCATTACCCCAGTTGGGTTGCCAATCTTGTTTTGGTAAAAAAAAAAAAAAAAAAACATAATGGTAAATGGCAAACTTGCATTGATTTTACGGATCTAAAAAAGGCTTGCCCCGAGGACAGTTTCCCCTTGCCTACAATCGATCAGTTTGTTGATGCCACTTCTAGGCATGAGCTGTTAAGCTTCATGGATGCATATTCGGGATACAACCAGATCCCGATGTTCACGCCTTACGAGGAACATACCTCGTTCATCACAGATCTAGGGCTATACTGTTATAAAGTCATGCGCTTCAGCCTAAAAAATGCTGAAGCAACTTACCAGTGCTTGGTTAACCAAATGTTTTATGAGCGGAATGGGAAAACAATGGAGATCTATGTCGATGACATGCTAGTCAAGTCGCATGTCGCTTCAGATCACATGACACACCTTTAAAAAATGTTCAACATACTCCGAAAATACAAAATGAAACTTAATCCACTTAAGTGATCATTCGGGGAAGGCTCGGGTAAATTCCTAGGGTACATGGTTAACCATCGAGGAATTGAAGTCAACCCCAAAAAAATCCAAGCTCTCTTAGATATGAGTAGTCCTACAAAACCCAAGCAAGGTCAAAGCTTGAATGGAAGGATAACGACTCTTAGTCGTTTCATATTGATAGCTACAAATCGTTGTTTGCCATTCTTTAATGTACTTAGAGCTAATAAGAAATTTGAATGGACTCTAGAATGTGAGCAAGCTTTCCAAAGCATAAAAGAGCATCTTGGAAAGCCACTTCTTTTGTCCAAGCCACTTCACAAGGAAATCATGTTTCTCTATCTGTCTGTCTCTTAGCATGCGGTTAGTGCAGCTCTTATTCGGGAAGAAAAAAAAATTCAATGGCCTATGTGTTACACCAACAAACAGCTGCTAGACATCGGGTATCCAGAAATGGAGCGATTAGCCTTTGCCTTGGTAATCATCTCCAGAAAGCTATGACCTTACTTCCATGTCCACACCATCTATGTCTTAACTAATTACCTACTCAGACAGGTCCTTCAAAAACTAGAAGCTTCCGGTAAATTACTTAAGTAGACAATAGAATTAAGTCAATTCGATCTACTCTTCAAGCCTAAAGCAGCTCATTCCTCTTGACTGTGATTTGAATTTTGCATGCCAGTCTTGGCGTTTAAATAGGATTTTCCAGTTTCTGCTTTCACTGTTAGATAGTCATGCTTTATTTTCATTATGGAGGTCTATAAGTTTTAAGCCTGTCATGTTGCAATCTTAACAGCATAATTTGATTTTCTTTTTCATAGTTTGTATCCTGTTTTGTGCTCTTCCTAAGTTTTTCTCTGAATTGACCGTAAGTACCGCAAAACTTAAGATGTTGTCCAACCTTCATGGGATATAGAATGCTTATTGCCGAAGTTGTCTCCAACAAATATGGCATTCTTATGTGCTACATCCTCAGTTGCTTTTTGTGGTCTTTTCTAGCTCTAGAAATGTCTTCCATATGGTAATTTCAAATTGACTTAAGTCTCATTTTGATTTTTACAGCTACAATCGTTTCAAGTTGAGGACATCAAGCAGGATTATGATACTGGTAAAGATGGAGTCACCATGGTTACTTTCAAAGTTGATTTTGATCGGGTTGAGAATTTGGAGGATGCGATCAAAGCCAATTGTAGCCGAGATATAGTTTTCTATAAACACTGAGACCGACTTTACTAGTCATACTCGAGTAAAAAGACTGACAACACTTCTAATAACTCGATGAAGGGAACTGGTCCAGGAGGGGTATGCACATCTCCTTCCCTGCTTTAGAGAAAATTTTTTGTTGCATGTGGGGTTGAATTTGCTAATAAGTTGTTTTGGGGCTATTTCGTGTAAAATTCCCTGTAAAATTAATAGCCGGGGATACTAATCAATTCTGAAAAGGTGATTGTTGACCTGATATCATATCGTTGTACATAAAATTTTAAATTTATGGAAGTTCCATACCAAAAAGTATTAATACTGGATCCTTGTAGACCATGGAGAAAGATAAGAACTTTAGATGAGGATGAAGTTATCGCCTGAATTTATGTCTTTGTAACAGAATGTTCAGTTTATGCCACTAGTTTCTTATTCAAGGATTTTGGCTGCCAGCTTAGTCCATTGATGCAAAACTTCTCAGTTTATAGTGTTTATTAGTATTTTTCCTCTTAGAACAGAAATGCTTCAAGTGGGAATTGAAGATAAGCAGTTCTCCAATATATTTTCACTTCTAAATACAGTTATATTTACTTTCTTGTTCAGAAATAGCAACTTTACCAACGGTAATTGCATATATGTTGTATTCATTTTCTTGTAACTAGTTCTTTAAATGGAAAAATCTGGAATTTGAAGACAATTTTATAACTTAAATGAAGTCTTTATAGTGATTGGCTTTTGCCTTATTTGCTGCTTTTCTACTTTTGTACATCCTTAAACATTTTGAAGATGGAGCATAAATTAAAATAATATTTATCTTCATGATACAATCATGGGCATATCCTTAAAAGAGCTTGTTTTGAGAACTGTAACATCTGTATCAAGAAGATTAGTACGTAATAATATATACTCCATACATTACTATAAATAATGAACAGAAAGAGACACACTAAGATTCTCTGGATGAGAATGAAATCAATGATCCACAAAACAACAAATATATATGGACTAAAACAAATATATATGGACTAACTCAAGTCCATGCCATGGCGCGTCCCACAATATCTGACTTGAAACGCATCTAAGAAACATTCTAACTGGTGGTAATAACGGTAACCGTGGCATTTCAAGGGCTATTAGTTCATTTAGATGGGGGTGGGGAGGGGAATGGAATGGTTGGTATTGTTGTTGGGATGGTGGGGATTGTGGGCAGAGGAGTAGATGGCAATGGCGGCAGTGTAACCTTAGGGGTTGCGGGGATGGTGGGCAATGTAGGTTGGGGCAAAGATGGGATTTGGGTGCTTGGCAAAGGTGGCAGTGTGGGCTTTGGAAGAGTTGGTTGCGTTGGCAATGTTGGCAATGGAGTCGAGGGCAATGGCGGCAAGGTGGCCTTAGGCAAAGTTGGCACTGGGGGCAATGGAGGCAATGTGGCCTTCGGCAGAGGTGGAATTGTAGGCAGTGTTAATGCTGGAGGTGGAGCTGCCGGTGTGTCCAAAAGATGGCGAGCTGCCAGGCTCATGTCAATGCTGGAGATTGATAGTGCTATCAACAAACAAAGAGCCAGAAAATCTTTAGAAAATGCCATTTTTGGAAGGATGCAGAAGGTACAAGACTCTAGCTGGAATTTCTAAACACTGGACAAATTCTTTTGTGTGTTTTCTTGAAGAGTTACTCATATCAAATAGCCTTATATAGATGGAAAAATATTGAACTATGGTTGATCATTTAGTTAGAATCAAAGTTTGATGAGTTGTGGTTGGGGAAAGTATAGAGAAACATTTGTTAGTTTATCTCCCTAATAGGACTACCTGCAAGTTTAACTTAAAGTTGGGGATTCCCAGAAAACCCAAACTCTTAAGCAATTCACAAAAGTTCCTGGTTATGGTTTGGGTAATTCAACTAACCTTTGACTCAGAAAAATACCATACAGCCCACATAGTTGTGATTTTGGATTGTTTGGGCAATCAATCTGATGGTTAATCGACGAATGTTCATCTCATGCATTGGTGCAATATAACCAAAGAGATTCTCTTTTGGGTGAAAGTCCATGAGTTAGGTGAACAAGCAATATGGAAAAAGGTTGGTAGCAAGCCTAGGAACGCTAGCTCAACCTGAAACCCGGCACTTCCTTTATTTTAAACTTGGGTGTTAGACAAAGTTGAGCTATAAGCATATATGTTCTGTTGCCATAATTAAAGCGTCAATATGTTTTACATAGGACTTTGCGATACTATATTTACAACCCAATCTCATAAACTCTATCTCGCAAGTCACAACTGCGAAGTGGTAGCTTTCAGTTTTTTGCTGATAAATTTCCCAAAATTCAAAATTCATCAACAAAAAACTAAAAGCTACCACATAGGAGTTGTAAGAGAGAATTCGTGAAATTGGGTTGCGAGAAATCTTTATTGATTATTTTAAGGTGCAACAATGACCAAACCGGTCAATTAATGTCTTTGAATATGGATTTGTTCTATAAAAAGAGCATGTATAATCACAATTAAACTTTCTTCATAATTAGAAATAGATATTATCATTTGTGGTATAAACTTTTTAGAATTTTTGGATGGGAGGACAAAAGTTACAAATCCTTCAATTAAGGAACATTTAATAACCGATGATTTACCATTAACTTTAACGAAAAATGATAAAAAGACTTAGATGCCCTTAACTTTTTTTCCTTATTTAAAAACGAAATTTAGTTCTTAAATTAAAATTTTTTAAAAACTAAAGATTGACCAACAATTTTTTTTTTTGAGAAAATCGAAAAAATAAAATTGAAAAAAAAACTTCAAAAAAAAAAAAAAATCTTTTTCTGGCCTTTTTTTTTTCCCCCAAAATTTTTATTTTTAAGTTCTGATTTCTTTTTGTATTTTGTTTTTTTTACCTTTTTAGTAATTTTAATTCACTTTTAAGAAGAAATCATTTAAATGTATACTATTACTGTTTTGCCTTTTTATATAGTTAAATTTAACTCAATATTTTTTGTTATTGTCCCTTAATTGAAGGATTTGCAACTTTATTGTCCTTTAGTGAGGGATTTGTATGTTTTGTCCTCTTATTAAAATTTTCTGAAAAAATTGTACCCTAATTTATATCCCTGTTTAGAAATGAGGTAGGTAAGGTGGTATCTACCAAAGAAATATTATTTTTAATAAATTTCTATATATTCTCACCTTAATTTGTGTAAGCAATACATTGATATATTAATGATCACATTATCCCATCATTCTTTTGTTAGTAAGATTCAATTACTATTTTAGTTACGGTACAAAAATTGAAAAAATGTTTGTATTTTCATTGCAAATAAAAGTGTATTGATTGTTTATGTTTATTCGAACATAATTTATGTTTCTCAAATTTTAGGTGAATCAATTGTTTTAAGAAATGAGTTTGTTAGAAATTAAACTAAGTTTATTTAGTTTTATTAAAAGTTTAGTTATTTACTCTTGCTAAAATACAACTTGTCATAGTTTATGGTAAAGTTAGTATTAAGATTCTTAATTTGAGTAGAATTTGGTAGCGCATTCCTAGTTTGATTTGCTTAGGTGGTAGATTCGAGAGCCATTCAGATTAAAATCGGACATATTATATCTACGAAGGTGATACCATTCAGTAAATTAAGATGTGTGGTGCCAATGGATCAAACACAATGAATCCAGCGGAATTGATACAAGTAAAAGACAATACCATAAAAAGTTTTGAATGAACAAGTCCACGAGTTTGATTTGAGAGAGATACTGTTGAAAATTAAATCAAACATATCAATTTTATTAAAAGTATTGTTAGTGGTATTTTTGTTTAGATTAGTGTCATCTCAATAGATGAGTGTTAATGTTTGATTTAATTAATCAATTGTGAGTTTTAGTTCAAGTGTAATTAGGCATCGGCTTTTATATAGAACGTTGTATTTGTCCGTATTGTGTTAGCTTGATTGTTTTATTATTATTTAAATTTCTTACCGAGTTTAATTGAGCACTAACTTTCTTCTAACATGTATTCTTTTTCAAAGATAAAGGAAAAAAGAAAGAAAGAAAGCACATTTATCAGTTCTAATGCAGTCTTATGTTTAATTAAACTACTCAAACATAACTAAATATGTTCAAGCTTTTATTTTATTTTTTTATTTTTCCTCCTTAGAAGCACGAAACTATAATCTGATATGAATTAATTACTTTGGAAGGATCAGTGGGAGGCCATAACTAAAACAAACAAATCATTTTTATTAAGCAAAGAGCAGTACAAGAACAAATTACACACCACAATTCTACAGAAAGTAACCGCAGAAGTAAAATTGAAGTGAACGAATGACTTCACAATGCAGAAAGAAAAACGACTGCGTCCATGAAATCAAACAAATAAACACATGGACCTCTGAAGCGTGTAGAGACAGAAACCAATTAAATAAAACTGCAGCATCTCAAGCACTAGTTGTTCACTTTGACGGGGGTGGGGAAAAGAAAGGAACAGTTGGAATTGTAGTCGGAATGGTTGGATTCGTTGTAGGAATAGTTGGTAATGGATTGGCAGGCAATGGAGGTAGTGCAACCTTTGGGATTGTAGGCACGGAAGGTAATGTTGGATTAGGCAAAGGTGGCAATGAGGGCTTGGGAAGAGTTGGTTGAGTTGGCAATGGAGTGGAGGGCAGTGGAGGCAGTGTGACCTTAGGCAGAGGTGGAACTGAGGGCAGTGGAGGCAATGTCGCCTTAGGCAGAGGTGGGATTGTAGGCAGTGTCAATGCTGGTGGTGGAGCCACCGGTGTGTCTAAAAGGCGGCGAGCTGCAGCAGCTGGACTCATATCAATGCTTGACAATGATAGTGCCATGAGGAAACATAGAACCAGGCAGCATCTAGAAATTGCCATGTTTGGATATTTGCAGAATGTCTAGAGATGGACTTTTCAAGTGTGGCAAATTCTAGTATGTTTTTTTCTTGAAGAGTTATGGATATCCAATTGGATTTTATATATAGAGAAAAATTTTAAGCTATGCTTAACTTTCCTTAGAATAAAAGTTTGATAAGTTCTGGTTGAAGGAAGCAAGCAAAAGTTAGTTGGCCTCCCTGTTTGAATAATTCAAGACTCTTTAGCAATACAAGTATATTAATTTCTGATTATGATTGGGTAATTCAACTACTTTTGACATCAGAAACATATCATGGCAACCCACTCTTGGTGATTATAACTACTTGGAGAAGTTCCGGTACTGAAATTTTTTAGTTTTTTCATAGACTTCTCCCCAGTTCAACACATGTCCATTTGGGATTCCTCATGAAAATCTTCAGTGGTACTCTTAACTCAATGCATGATATCACTTCTGTTTTTGTAAGGGATGTAATAATATTGTTTTACTTAATTAACTTGTATCTTAAAATTAGTTTTTGTATCTTAATGGAGATGTCAATATCAAATTATATAAACATAATAATTATTGTATTATTTAATCGTTGATATGTGAAAGATTCAACAATCACTTTAGTTATAATATGGAATATGAAAAAAATAATTTGTCTCAAATTCTAGTTGTAAGAAAAATTATACCAACAATTTGAAACAATAGATTAGTTTACTTTACAACCCAATGCAAGACAGTGTTTTAGTATAGTTAAATATTCCCTTATTTGAACGCATATATATTTCTTTAACTAATCATATGATTCATTATTTGAAAAAAAATTATAATATCGAAATTTTTAGGATAACAAAAGGGAGTCTACATGGCCATCAACCTTCAATCATAAGTGAGATATTTCTAGTCACTAATGTCATGTTGCTCATGTTAATTAAGCATGAACTTGAACTCACACCTTGTGCTATTTGCAAGTACACACGCCCCTTTGTCTTCTTCAAGTTCAATAAATTGTCTGTTTATTGTTTAATTTTGCGGGTGCAAACTTTTCTGGATCGTATTCTTTCATATATATATATATATATATATTTTGCTTTCAAAGAATTAAGGAAAAGTACATTGTTTTCATAAGAGTAAACGACTTTTTCCCACCAAATAATGGCTTAATGACAGACTTTTTCCCACCAAATAATGACTTAATGACACTTTCTCACCCATAGACTTTTAAAATACTACTTTCTTATCCATATTTATATTCCGTTTCCGATTCCAGCATCGTTGCAACCTTGTACCATCACCATTCTTTTCCTTGATCATCACACACTAAAACCCTTCAAACCCTACTCATGTCGACTTTTTCAATCTCTGGAATCGAGCAATTAGGGTTTATGCAGTCGCCCCCGAAGTCAAATTCTGATAAATCCTAACCATTAAAATCCAACATTCCACCATCAAAAGACTCATCGGCCTTACCTCTTCAAAAGCCTCAACAGCTTGGACTGAGTTTACTCTCTGTTCACTGTTAGAAAATAAACTTGGATAGTAAAATGATATTTTAAAAGCTTGTAGTTGGAAAAGTGTCATTAAGCCATTATTTGAGTGGGAAAAGTCATTAACTCTTTTCATAAATAGTCTATCTTTATATTAAAACATAATTTTGATCATTTTTAATTGTCTCTTTTTAAGCATGAAATGAAATGAAACTGAAATATCATATAAACTAACTTGAGAGGATCAGTAGCAGCTCCGTATTGAAATTAAGAAATAAATTTCATTAACAAAAGAGTAGTAGCAACAACAGACGCACGCCATAATCCCGGTAAGAGAAAGGAACGAACAATTTAGCCTAACCCAATAATAAAAAAAAAGAACACAACTTTTACATCTCCTGAAATAAATACCCAATGTCCGTAAAGAGTAAAATAGGATGAAATAAAGCCCCATGGTACAAAATATCCAAGTCTCAAACTGCAAAACATTCAAAGAATTGCTACCAGAGATAGAGTTAAACCAGAGCCATCTACTACATAAAAAGGTTGAGAAAAAGTTTAACTAGACTCCGTGCAACATCTGAAGCACTAGTTATTCACTTTGAAAGTGGTGGGGAAAAGAAAGGAACAGTTGGAATTGTAGTCGGAATGGTTGTGGGAATGGTTGGTAATGGATTGGCAAGCAATGGAGGTAGTGTAAACTTTGGGATTGAAGGCAATGTTTGACTAGGCAGAGATGAAATTTGGTTGTTTGGCAAAGGTGGCAATGTGGGCTTGGGAAGGGTTGGTTGAGTTGGAAGTCTTGGCAATGGAGTTGAGGGCAATGGTGGCAGTGAGGGTTTAGGCAAAGATGGCATGGAGGGCAGTGGGGGCAATGTGGCCTTAGGCAGAGGTGGAATTGTGGGTAGTGTTAATGCTGGTGGTCGAGCTGCCAGAGTGTCCAAAAGGTGGCGACTGGCCTGGCTAATGTTAATGCTTGTTAGGATGTGAAGAAAACTGACCATTGATATAGCTGATGGTTCAGGGAGTTAGTTACATTTCTGTTACAGTGCACATGTTGTGCACTTGTATATAAACACATGTATCACCTTCTTCATCAAGTTAATCAATAACAAACCTGAGATTCTTTCCCTTTTTGCTCTGTTTTTCTGCGTTTTCTATCAGCATTCTAAGTTGGTATTAGAGCCATTGACAAACGTCAAGAATGGTTGATCTCTCTCAAATCCTTCACCTTTTTACAAAACAGATAATAGCTTAAGCTTTAAATGCACATTTTACACAAAAAACCTCATCAATTCTGCTACAATGACGTCTTCAACACTACCTGTGATTTCACCTAAACTAACGAGGAACAACCACCGCTTTTGGAAATCACAGATTCTTTTTGCAGTTAGAGCTCACGATCTTGAAGAACACCTTACTGGTTTAATACCATGTCCAGCTCCTTTTGTGAAAGCCTTATTAGACGGCACACAATCAGAGGTAATTAAAAAACCTAATCCAGAATACATGCTTTGGAAGAAAAATGATAAGATGTTAGTTAGTTGGTTATTATCATCAATTTCAGAATCTATGTTTGCGGTGATCTCTAAGTGTCAATTTGCCACTGATATTTGGTTCACATTGGAAAAAGAATTCTTGACTAAATCTAGAGCTAAGACACTTCACGTTAAAAACCTTTTACAAAACACAAAAAAGGATAACATGAGAATACATGATTACTTTTTAAAAATGAAGAACTATGTTGAGAATTTATCATCAAGTGGAGTGGTGATTACTGATGAAGAGTTGTTGAATTATATTCTAGATGGTCTGGATTCAGAGTATGATGCTGCTGTTGTTAATATAACAACTAGACTTGAATCTAAGGTTGATCCAATATCTGTCTAGGAAGCTCAGATTGTCTTACAAAAACTTGAACTTAGATTGGAGAAAGCACATACCGTAATGAACACAATGATTCATAATGAGTTTCATAGTAGTTTAGCTAATGTTGCTAGTATTTCAGTGGATAATGAGAACAAGAAATTGGAATCTGATCAATCATCACAACTCCCTGGAAATCAGTATAACACGGTGACCTTATCTATACCACAATTCACTAGATTCAATTCCTCTTACTTACCTACTGCTTAGAATTCATTTGTCTTTGCTACACCTCAGCCTCAACCTTACTTTAATAATCAGTTTTCTAGAGGATATGCTGATGGCTGAGGTAGAGGACGTACAGGTGGTAGAAACAGGTTTATTTGTCAAGTTTGTGGAAAAGCTGGTCATCTTGCTTTACATTGCTATCATCGGTTTGATGTAAATTACACAGGGAATAATTTGTATATCAGAGGCAATTTCAATTCACTTGGTTTTGTGAGATCATTTGAATCCCCACTTGGAGGACAATACTCTTATGCTCCTTTTCTTCATTACTCACGGCAGTTCTTCAGGACCATTACCACCGTACCAAACTGGATATCATACTCAATTCTTGGCAAGTGTTGGTTCATCTCCTACAACTACTACAAATCAGCCTTCAGCTCCCAATGTTAATCAGTCCAATCAAGTGTTCATGGCACAATCTCAGCCCCCTAATCATACTCTTGCTACTATCAATTATGTTGCCTCACCAACCACTATTCAAGATGCTGCTTGGTATATTTAGGAGCCACAAATCATGTTACTTTAGATTTTTCCCAGGTCACAACAAGCTCTCCCTACATAAGAAATGAACAACTCTAGGTTGGCAACGGTGAGTTGCTATCAATCTCTTATACTGGTTCTAGTATATTACTCTGTCCAGTTAAAAATTTACATCTCAAACATGTCTTATTTGTTCCTCATATCACAAAAAATTTACTTAGTGTATCCAAGCTCACTAGAGATAATGATGTTCTTGTGGAATTCTTTACTGATCACTGTGTGGTTAAGGACAAACTATCCAAGGTCATTCTTCTTCAAGGGGTACTTAAAGCTGGACTTTATTGCCTTCAAGTTCCAGTTCACTCATTTCCTCATTCTAATGGAGTTTTGGATCCTTCAATCTCTTTAAAGTCCACCAGTAGCAGTCTCGTTCCTTACTTTAGTGTCTCTAATAAAAATGTTGATGTTTTGTCTCAAACTCAGAAATTGTGTTCAACTTTCAATAAGTGTACACCTATGAATGTTTCTGTCAATAATCAGTCCTGTATTAGTGATGTCTGTCAATAATCAGTCCTGTATTAGTCATGTTAATCCTCTTGTATCTACTCCTATTTCAGTTGTAACTGATGCCTCTATTGGAAATAAATTGAATGTTTTTCCAGCTTTCAAAACTGACTTTATGCTATGGCATAAACGTCTTGGTCATCCTAACATTTTAGTTCTCACAAATATCCTTAAAACTTTACAATTACCTCATCCTGCCAAGCCTATCAATATGGCAAACTGCATCAGTCTACTTACCCCAAGTTTGATTTTCAAGCATCTCAACCTCTTGAACTCATTTATTCAGACCTTTGGGGACCTTCACCTATCATCTCTCCTGAAGGCTTTAG